TGGTCTCTTTCAGCTTGGCCACCTCAGTGCTGGCCTCTGTCCAGCTGCTGTTGGTGTAGCTAAAACTCAGACTTGCCTGTGTCCCCTGCCAAATTCACCCTTCACTGACCAGTCACCTTCTCCATCAGTCTGGGGGTGAGAGGCGTGTGTGAGGAATCTCCTGGTTGGTGAGGCAAGACGCCTACCCTGCTACTTCAAGAGCACTGGTACCACTCTGCTTCACCAGAGATATCTTTTAATTCTCAGCTCAGGCATCACTGCCTGGAGCCCCAGGCTGGGTGAGCAATACCCCTCCTCTGGGCAGTCCTAGCCTCCTGCACAAGCTCATGGTTTGTTGAGCACTCTGGTGGGCTGGCGCCTCCAAGGAAGCTGGTGTGGAGCTGTTGGACTCTTAGTAGAATATGGATCATGTATCACCACTTGGGCCCCAGCTTTCAGTCGCCAGTTCTGGGGAATGGAAACTTCCTTCCTTCATATCACTTGCCAGGAGATTGAAACTATACTGAAATGACCTGTCTCTGTGTTTTCCTTACCACTGCACTATACGTATCTTGAGAACAAGGACTCTGTCTTGTTCCTGCGCAGCCTGGAGCATACCTGGTGCACAGTCAAACTGAGAATGTGGCAAACTGCAGACTGAGTTTAATGTTTTCTTGGTCATTGTATCAGAACAGATTCATGAAGGCAGTTTATGAAATGTCATTAGGATTAAGTGTAAATTCCTGTAGTTACATCCCCAAATAACAGGCATGTAAATATCAGGTGGGCAACCATGGCTTCGCAGCAGTTCATTTGAGAAAGGTGGGATTGGCCTTGAGGAAGCCTCGGTGTGGTGGCCAGTGTGGCGAGGCTGCAGGACACTGCTGGGGTCAGGGCCTGCTTTGCTGGTGTCCCATGTAATAGTCTCCATTCTCTGTGGTGTCTTCAGTGACATCCTGTCCCATCCTCTCAGCTGTAAACATGCCATGTGTCCCCTGATCTTTAAGCCTTCTCTCCTACCTGCCTCTTCCTCAGGGTACCTTCCCTGTCCTTTTGTTTACACTCTGAAAGGAAGAGTGCATACTCCCCACCCTGCCCCCCTTACCACCCACCCTTTGCCCTCTGAAACCTTTGCTCACCTTAGCTCCTAGGCCACCACTTTCTCTCATTTCTCTTGGGAGGTGACTTGGCTTTATTGAAAAGCCTCACCCTTCAGCTCAAGCCTCTTGTCCGTGTCTGGCTTCACCCACCATGACATTGTGGACACCCTGTCCTCTCCCCTCCTCTCTGCTGACTGTGGCCCCCTCCTCCTCATTCCCTTGAGCCTGCTCCTCCTCAGGGACCTCTGTCCCCTGCTGCAGTTCTACCGATTCCACCTCCTGCCTCCAAGCCTGTGCAAATCGCCATCGTCCTTCAACACCTCACTGCCTTCCGGGGATATTCCAGCCCGGTACAGAGCTCCCTGTGCTTTTGCACCCTTCACCACCAGCCTTTTGCAAAGAGGTCCACCTCCTCCCTCTTCCCCTCCCCGGCAGCTCAGCATCCAGCAGTGGGACCTGGGCCCGAGCTGCTGCTCAAATGCATCAGAGTCCAGACCAGCACCTTGATGCCTTTCCTCCCTGCTGCCTCCTGTTCTCAGCCTCGGGGCTCTGCAGGGTTTGGCCCACTCTTTGAGGGCAGCCACAACTCTCATCTACTGGGTTGTCTGCACTTTTTGGATTCCTGTTGGGGCCGCTGCTCCCATCCTCCCATCCTTGGTGGAGGCAACCTGGCTCTTTCCCTTCTTTGTGTTTTCCCCATTACCACCTAGGGTAATAAGTGAGGAGGTGGGGAGGGTGCGGAGAGACTTGGAGACAGGGAGAGCTCTCTGCACTAGTTTGCTGTGGTGCTGCTGGTGTTTTTGGTAGCAGCATGAGGGATTCCCTCGGACACCATGGCAAAGGCTAGATGGAGACCAACAAGCCACGTGTTGGCTTTGCTCCTCTCTGGGCATCCCGCAGTGTTCTCTGTCCTCATGGTCTTTCGCTTACCGTGTCCCTTCCACCTTGTGCCCTCTCCCAGCTCTTGACCTCTAGCATTCTGTGGTTCTCTTAGAGATCAGATATGCTTGTTTTCTAAGGTGTGGTGCTTGTTCTCCACGTACTGTAGCATATCCACTTTGCCAGGACACTCAGTTGCCTTGGGATCAGGACTTGACTTACGTTACACTCCCTGGGCACTAAACAGAGGTTCCTGCGGATAGTGGTTGCTCAGTAGGAGGTTCCCAGCAGCACCTGCTAATGGGCAGAGCACCAGTTTGAGATGTAAACAGACCCGGTTCTGATGCTGATCCTGATATTGATTCCTGTTAGTGATGTGACCTTGGGCACTTGCTTACCCTTCTGACTACAGTAACTGGGAGGATGAAATATAATACCAGATGCTCAGAAGATGCAGGTCCCCTCCCCTTCCTGAGATGGGAAGGAGCCGGGAGATGTGGAGCAGGCCCCAGCATGGGGGACACTAGGACACCTAGTAAGACCAAAGCTGAGCGTTTCTGCAGGCTTCAGGATTTGGGGGAAAGAAACCATTTGCAAGACCACCCTAGTTTGCCATAACACAGGAACTCCTGTGAGTAGTTGGCAGTTTCAGCCCTGTGACTGGCAAGAAGTAGGAGACAATGTGACCTAAAGCAGCCTCTGAGGACATGCTGACACCATATGATGTGCCTCTGCCCGTAAATGACTGGCTGGTTGTTGGAATTTTCTGCACTTGCTGTAGTCCTCTGACCTTCACGCCCGCCGTCCTTCCTTGCCCTCCTGCTCTTTCCCATAGGCTTCTTTT